CCTGAGTAACTTTTCTTTATAACTTAACCGGCGGTCTCTTATAGTTTCTGAGATATTTAAAGTTATGATTTCACAATTTTAATGATTTTTCTATTATAAAATAAAGAAAAATAAAGGTTGTTTACATTGTATTTACGTAGATCAGACGTGGAAAAAGTGTTTCTTTACATTTCCAGAGACGAAGCTCTTTGGGTTTTTTTACTTTCCACGCAAAGCGAGGTTCAACGCAAACCTATGTGTCTAGTTTTTTTATAGTGGAGCCCACTGTGTCCACGCATATACTTTCCCATCCACACAACAATTGTTGGGCGAACTTCGCTTTGCTTTGTAAAGTATATGCGTGCACACAGTGGGTTCCGCCCCCCCTACAGGGGTCTTCACTTCCGGAAGATATAACCTAACCCAAACCAAATTTTAGTTTTAAATCAGAAATAGGTTTGGGTTAGGTTATATCTCAGGCACGGCGAAATAACAAATGAAAAAAGTGTTCTATGAATGAAGCGCCCTTTTTCTCACTTGTTATTTCGCCGTATCTGAACGCGCGAAATCTCAGCCCATTCGTAAAATATAATCGCTTCCCGTTTAAGAACTATTATAGCCTCGACATTTTTGTATTAGGATTTTCGTCTTGAAATGTTCTAAGGAATCTGCCATTAAGAGGAACTCCGGTAGTTTTAGGACACCCTATATATATATTTGTAACAAATCTGTACAGAGTCAAATAAATCAAAAAGGTTTCGTAAATATTTTTTGGGCTTTTTCTACTATCCAAATAATAAATTTTTTTTCGATAATGATCCCAATAAATCATTTAATTTGACAGCAGTCGATGTGAAAAAAGAGAATAAATGATTATTGTAACATGCATAAAATGTACATTTTTTAAATAGTACATATTTCTTATTATAAGCCTTATTGTATATATATATATACATTAGACCATCAATTTAATAATTATTATCAACACTGCGATTTGTGCTCGTGATGAGCCGATCATATATAAGGTTGTAACGCGGTCACCTCGCTCGACGCTCGGATCGGCTCGTCGGTGTCCGGGTTCGAGAATAGGGGAGACTCAAGCTTACAAGACACAGTGTAGGTAGAAATAGATAGTTTATTCAGTTAAAGAAAGATAGATACAGCGTGCAGGGTCAAGCGATAGCGTGCGGTGGAGGTGGTCGCTGGTAGCAGGATCTGCGTGACACGCAGGCGCGAAGCGATGGGCGCAAAGCGGTGAGAAGCGCAAGACCAGTGCGGCGTGCAATCGTTCCCGGTTTTATTTACAGGCGCGGACGGCGCGATTAGAACTAGAGCACTTATTACTAACAGGCCTTATAACTAACGGACTTAGTACTAGACAGGGCTTACTCCTAGCAGGTCTTATGACTAGCGGACTTATTACTAGACAGGTCTTATTCCTAGCATGCGGTTATAACCAGCGGACTTAGTATGAACAAGCCTTAAGACTAGGATGTGATTACGACTAGCGGACTTAGTACTAACAGGCCTTATAACTAGCAAGTCTATGACTACGAGACTTAGAACTAGCGGACTTATCTCTATCATGCGATTATATTTACAGCGCGGTCGGTACATGCACTTATTATCTAAGGTTAGGTCAGGCGGCCAGGTATTGCCGGCAGGCTCGAGTGTCACGTCGAGCGCTGCCTAAGCAACGGAAGTCGGTTCAACCCGACGGGGCCAAGTACAACCTTGGCCCGAGGTA